AGGAGAATCGCTTGAGCCCAGGAGTTGGAGGTTGCTGTGAGCTGTGATGCCATAGCACTCTACCCAGGGTGACAGCTTGAGGCTCTATCTCAAAAAAAAGAAGTTATAGAGAAAAGTTATATCTTATCCTACTCCTAGCACCTCATTCATATGGAAACAAATTCTTGGAGGAGGGTTATATGCTCCTATTGGGTATCATTTTAGCTGCATTACTGCATTCTTTGGGGCTTTACTCTTTACCCTCCCTTTCCTGTTTCTTGTTAAGTGTTCAAAATTGACCTGAAAGCCTCAGTTTTCAAAAGGTGTATTTCATTTTAGCAGTTTCTTGTCAAACTCTGAATAGTCAGAATGTACAAATCCAGAATAAAACATATTATGATTTTAAGGTTAGAGGTGTTCTTATCTGGGGATCCTGAAAAGATGAATGCATTATGTCCACAACCATTTGGGGAGTTACTGGGTGACTTCAGTGGTTATGTGACATGTGATGGGAAGACATTTCTAAATGACAGAATCTTACTGAACTTCTAAAGAATATATCTAGAGTTGACTACTACTTTTTCCCACTCTTAGAACACACTAATTTAGTGCCTGCTATTGATATTATTGAATATTATTATGTTTCCTTACCTAAATAAAGACATAAGCTTCAGTTGTCATTTTTAAAAGTTGTTTTTCTTTTGTATTGAAAAAATGCTTTCTTATATCCTTTAGCCATCAGAAAATATGGCCGAGATTTTCAGGCAATCTCAGATGTGATTGGGAACAAATCAGTAGTACAAGTGAAAAACTTTTTTGTAAATTATCGACGCCGCTTCAACATAGATGAAGTTTTACAAGAATGGGAGGCAGAACATGGTAAAGAAGAGACCAATGGGCCCAGTAACCAGAAACCTGTGAAGTCCCCTGATAATTCTATTAAGATGGCTGAAGAGGAAGATGAGGTAAATCTGAAACAATAGTCTCTTCTCTGCCAGGTTTGTTATTGGTATTCTGGTTAATTTCTAACATGATGACTTTTTTTTAGTGCATGTTCTCTAATTTTATTCTTTATTTTAAAAAAAAAAATTGCAGATTGAGATGAGGGTACAACCTGTATGGTTACATTGTTTGCATTTGTTAGGTAAAGTCTAAGTTGTAGTTGAGCCCTCCACCCAGGAGGTGTGCCATATACCCTTAAATTGTGCCAGTTAGGTAAAAGCACACCATTCTCTTCCCCCTCTTCTGCCTTACCCCGCACTTGAATTTAATTGTTTTTTTCTCTTGTGTGGGCATGTAGTTGTTCATCTACTAGTTTCATACTAATATTGAGTACATTGGATACTTGGTTTCTATTCTTCTGATACTTTACTAAGGAGAATGTTCTTTAGCTCCATCCAAGTTAATACAAATGATGTAAAGTCTCCATTTTTTATGGCCTAATAATATTCCATGGTATACATATACCACAGTTAATTAATCCATTCATGGGGTAATGGGCACTTGGGTTGATTCCCCATCTTGGCAATTGTGAATTGAGCTGCTATAAACATTCAAGTGCAAATGTCCTTATGATGAAATGATTTTTTTTTCTTCTGGGTAGATATATAGTAATAGGATTGCAGGATCGAATGGAAGGTCTTCTTTTAGCTCTTTGAGGTTTCTCCATACTTCTGTCCAAAGAGGCTGTATTAGTTTGCAGTCCCTAAAGTGATGCCTTTTTTTAGCTATTAAAATATTTTTGGGTTTCAGCTATATCAGTAACTTCACTTTTACCTATAAATCCCATAATGTGTATGTGTTGACTCCAGTCAATTCTTGGTCCCTGTGTGTCATTCACATTTTAGTTTCCATCCTGGTTTCTTCCAACCACAATTACCAATACAGTAAAATCTGTCATGAAACAGTCAGTTGGAATTGCCTTGAGAAATATCAGTAAGTCTCAGTCATGCTATAGTCATGTTATATGTGCCATCATATCACCGTGAGGTTCACGAACTTACTGGTGAGTCTGCACAACCAACCAGGAGCTCCTGAGCTCTATCCTTACTATCTACATCTTCCAGACTTTGTTTCTGTTTGGGTGACTGGTCCCAAACACTGATGAAGATGATTCTGTGGCTGGTTGGAACTTTTAAGATGGTGGCTGACATTCTTGTAATTTCTGGAATGGCAGCACTGACTTCATCTGCCTAATTAGCCAGGATTAGGTTAGAAGATTATTCAGGCTGCAGAGACTGTCTTCAGCCTCTCTACTCCCTTTGCCAGGGTTGCTGACCATTCCCCCCCATCACTCCTGGCTTACCCCCCTCATTTCTGCCTCCTCTGCCAGACAGATGAACGTGAGACTGCACACAGGAAAGAGTTAATTGCCAATCACTTCTCATCTGAATTTGTTTGCTGAAGTGGGCAAACATGGGGGTCAAGAATGTGAGGGGTGTCACATCCAACTTGTGTTTAGATAGTATGGAAGTAGAGTCTCACCTACAATTAATTATGAAATGATTTGAGTATGTTATCAGTGAGGGAAAAAAATCTCCTGATTGAACTAAGGACAGTTCTTTCATGTTGTGATTTCAACTGAAGGAACAGCCAGGTCAGATTGGGGATGCGTAGCCCAATTGTTGGCTTCACAATAAGGTGCCATGGGGGTGGCAGTAAGATGCCTTAGAGCAGATAGGTTTGCAACTGGGAGTCAGTTTTGAAACATGAGAGAGGGAAGTTCCCTGTGCTCTCAAGTGTTCTATGTCCTAAGTTTTGACATCTTTAAAACGTGGCATGGCTCCACACCTGTAGCTCAAGCGGCTGAGGCGCCAGCCACATACACCTGAGCTGGTAGGTTCGAATCCAGCCTGGGCCCACCAAACAACAATGACGGCTGTAACCAAAAAATAGTTGGGCTTTGTGGCAGGCACCTGGAATCCCAGCTAGTTGAGAGGCAGAGGCAGGAGAATCGCTTGAGCCCAGGAGTTGGAGGTTGCTGAGCTGTGACTGATGCCACAGCATTCTACCCAGGATGACAGCTTGAGGCTCTGTCTCAAAAAAAAAATTTTTTGGCCAAGCTGCAGTTTTAGCTCAAGATTTCTGGTTCTAGAGGCCACACTCTCACCCTACATAAAGTGTATTTGCTGCACAGGCCTGGTGACTGACCCCCGCAACACCCTTTTGCAGCAGAATTAGCAGTCCATGTTGTTTGATGGGTTTTTTTTCCTTCTCGTCTCAGGCTGCTTCTGTTCTTGACGTCAGATATGCATCTGCCTCATGAGAAACTCTGGTACCTTTGAACACTTGGTATGGACTACTGTGTTATCCAGGATTTCAGGTATTACGAGACATCACCTAGCCATCTGCATCACATCTCTGTGGACAAGCAGCTATTACCAAAAAAGGCATACACTTCCAGTCCTGTGCTATACCTGCCTTAATTCTTTGCTCGTTCCTCCATTTTGGCACTACTTCCCAGAGAGCTCAGCTGTATCTCTCACTATATCTGCCTAAGTGCTGGAGAACTGCAGGGCTGCACAACACCTGTAGCCCCAGGAGCCAAGGTCAGAGCCCTCAGAGCCCCAGCAATGGCAGCTCTTCCCATTTGACAGCTGCGGAACAGGGAGTCTGCTCAGAAGGCACCACTCTGCTCCTGCATGGCCTGCGATTTCTACTTTGTGTGTAATTCTCAAAGTAACTGTGACCCTGTTGGCCTTCTAGAAAGTTCCTCATGTTCTTTTCTGAGACAGCCACCTAAGTGAGATCATGCTTCTTTGGAAATCAGAATATATTAGCGGACTGTATGGTGACCCTTATCGTGCCAAGCGTCCTGATGCAAGTCACATTTTCTTAAATGTAGGGTATAATTACGGTTTATAAATTTAGTTGGCTTACATCCCTTCTCTCTCCCTTTCTAAGTGGTAAAAATCTCATTCACAGCAATTGTTCCTGAACACTGTAGCTAAAAGGGAACATGGACCTCAGCGCTTTTCTGCCTTCAACTTGCAGCATTGTGATCCTGGGGTGGATGCCACCCCATCCCTTCCTGACCACCTCCTCCCCCCACCACCACCCAACTCCAAGGGATTCGGTCCATATCACTGTACCTGGTGCTTGTACATTTGGAATTGGTGCCTTCTCCTTTTGGCAACCGTGTTATCAGTCCTTTTTCTGTTTTGGTGTCTTTCTTCTTTAAAGTTTATTGCTAGCCAAAGATGACATCACTGAGATTAGGAGACAGGGGAGCGCTTGCTGCAGATTCTGACAGTGTAGATTTAAATGTCAAGTTAGCTCAATAAAGGATACTAGAGTAGCTGGTGATGGTTTTATAAAAGCTGCACATTGCTCCCCATTCTCTTACTGTGTCTGGCCTTTTGTATGGCACTGCAAATATCCATCTGTGTCCTTCATGTATGGATGTGATCACATGAACACCTTCCCCTCTTAATATCAGAGTACAGGACAGAGAAGTGATCAACGAACTGGTCTAGCTAGACCAAGATAAAAAAAATCTACAAAGCAGTATATAATGCCTTTTAGTTGGACTGGGAACAAATAAATTTTTCTAATGTTTCAAGACTTCCAGAATCACTTTTGTTCTTTTACCAGACCGTGGACCTGCTAAGGGTTGCAGAGTACCTGTCAAACTGTGCTGTAGCATACCCTGTGCCCACCCACGGCCAGTCAGACTGCACTAAATATGTTAAAGTAGCTATTGTTGTTACTGTTGTTTGCATCATTTAAATATTATTTTCTGCTTTCAATACCAAAAAGAAAAAAATGCCCATGTGTTAAGGCACAAACAGAATTTGTAAGAATTTAAAATATGCAATTAAAATTTGATGTATTTTGATTCCCAAGCACCTTGCCTTTTTTTTTTTTTTAAGTCAGCTGATTTTCTTTTTAGAAAGAGAGCCAGCTAGAAACCTAGGCGTTTTGAAATTGTACATTCTTTTTTAGAACTCTGGAGAAAGGTCATTCAAAAGGGGAGCACAATGGGACTTTCCCAATTTTGATCACTATGTCCCTACAGCAGGTGTCTGTCAATCAAGCAGAAGCCCATGCAAGGCAATATCAGAGGAGCCCCCACTTGCCACTCCTGCTGAAGACAGGGCAGCATATAACACTAGTAAGGAACACTGTTATCATAGCCTACTGTGTGATCACAGGGTGGCAGAAAGAACGTGGGAAGGAGTCGCCTAAATTTTGCACATCACTGAAAGGGATACTAAGGCGTGGACTGCAGCTTTGAGTTCTCCTTGCTTCCCTCCAGACCTCCTTCCTATTAAGAGAAGCAGTGGGCAGTGGTTGCAGTGGGTTTCCCACTCTGCCTAGAGATCTGTTTCTCTTTACACCCAGGCTATTTTCCTTAAAAATTGATCCCTCCTTGCAATGCTTAGAAGCTTGGTACCAATTCTTATGTAGCAAGGCAAGGAGGTGAGCAGTGCCAGACACTCATCTGTATTCTGCACTGCCCCCTCACTCAGCTCTTGGTACTGGGTGATGGTCTCCAGCCCTGAGAAGTCACTGTGCTGGTCACTTGTGATCACAGCAGCTAAATTTGGCTTTCTCCCCCAGGGAAGGGGCATGTCATTTTCATTTGACAGAGGGAAAAAAGGGTAGTTGTCTTTGCCTGACTGCCTTCGTTGTAGTTCATGCATAAGATAGCGTGTGTTTTAAACTTTTCATTACACTGTCTTTGCAATGATGTAAATGCAAGAAATCACCTAGCTTTAAAAGCTAAGTGGTTTGATCTTATTTATGTGAAGACTCTTTAACATATCAAGAATTAGGTGCATTGGCAGGTAGCATTTGGGATGTGATGACTGCTTCAGATGGAATGTTCACTGAAGCTTTGTCTTCTTAAAAATTATCAATGTGAATGTCATAATTTTATATATTTTTGTGGAAAATTTCTCCTAAGTATAAGTTATTGTGCAAAATATAGTATCATTGACACAAATAATAGTTTAACTTTTAGTTTAGAAATTCTAAAAGATATAAATTGTATTGCATATGCATTAAAAGTTTGTTCTATTTAATTTTATATAGATGTGTAAAATGTTAGGTAAAATTTTTTTTCACTTATCCATTTAAACACCTTGTTACTTGAATATTGTGTTAACTGGTCTGTGACAATGATCAGTTCTGTAATATAGCTCTTTTAACCAGGAAGTGACCATGCCTCAGTTGTGCTGGTTAGGTTAGTATGACATAGTCGGTGCGGGTGTTGGCAGGAGCCAGATGTTAGTGTAACGCACCCACTGAATTGTCATGGTGTAGAGTATTGGTCAAGACACTGCTTCCTCAAAATGGTTTTTGATAGTTTCAAACCTATAAGATCCTTTGATGCTCATAAACCTCTAACTGAAAAAATGGAAAAAGTAGTTGGGTTTTAAAAGCTTACTGTGGTGGACTAATTAAGCATTTGCTTTCTGTTCATATAAAGTTTCCTCAGATATTACACACCACTCTAAGTGTGCTCATTGTCACTTTAAATTTTAATTATACCCTATTTTTGTCTTTCTAAATATCAGATGTACTATTGGAATAATTGCACACCAAAAATAAGCCAAACAGTGCATTACACTGACAGGATTCCTGCTTTTATGTGAGCAATGTAAAGATGGAGCCAACTCAAATGAGAGCCTCTTTTTTTCTCTCTTGTCTAGGCCTGTTTCTTAAGCTAAAGACCCAGGATTTAAGCTTTTAATATCAAGTGAAACTTTGCCTCAGATTGACTCAAAGTAGTTAGGTCATCAAAATCTAGTGGTCTTGTGCAATGCCGTTTCTGCCACTCCCTGGATCTCTGCAGCTTTTCCTAATTGTAGTAAAGCACAATTGCAGTGACGTCGCAATTCAGAAGAAGGAAGGTCAGCATAGCCTATGCATGTTGTGTAATCATGAGTGTTTACAGCCACCTTCTCCTAAAATGAAAATTTATACTGGGGTGGGTAGTATTCCATTATGTAGACTTATTGACTTTGCTAAGTGCTTTTTAGACTGCTAAAAAATTTTTCAAGTATTTTAAAAGATGTATAAGGTTAAGTTTGCAAATATAATGGAAATGCTGTATATCTTTTGAAGTGATAAAATCCATGTTGGAATTTTAAAGAGAATATGTTGTAATAATGCTGTTGTAAGTAATATTTTAATGTCTCTCTTTGCCTGTTTTCTATTTCAGCACATCATTGTGGTGAATGTTCATAGCATTATAACTGCTTAGCCATTGAATGATAACATTTGTTAGTGGAAATTGGAAAATTTATTTGTGAAATTCTGCAGAATTCATTTTTCTATTTCCAATATTTGCTGAAGTTAAATAAAAATTTTCAAGCCATTGATGTAATAAAATACGAAACAAAATGATCTTCTGCATCCCCATTCTCCGTCAAACATACCCTAATACGAACTGGGGTTGTTCTTTTCCTTTTGAATAGACCCTGGGATTTCTGAGTGTATAATTTTCCTAGAATTAGGGCCTTGTGGAAAGACACAGTCTGGATGCTTTTTATTCTACCTGAACCTCTACCCTTTGTTATCTATGATAATCTTACAGTTGGTATGAGACTGAGATACGTGAGTTCATGAAGTTCATAGTAGTTAAGGGCTTCAATGTAAAGGTTCAGTAAGAGGAATTTTTTCCCCCATTGGCAGTTTTTCTTTCCTCCACTTGCTGAGATTTTGACTTTCTCCCTGAAGGCCTCTGCACAGACCCTGGACTGTAGCAGTGATGAGGCCAGGTTGCCACTGTTACGGCTCTGTTCAGCCAAGAGTGGACACACATAGCTACAATAGCTCCTTGAGTAGCAGAAAGGACATGGTTGGCATGTACAGGCAGTGGCCACAGGTTCTGTGGTCGTTCTTCCCTTTTTCAGCTGGAATGTAGGATCTGGTTAGATAATGACACCTAACTTCTAAATTCAGCATTGTCTCCAATAAAATTTGAAATATGTAGATGTGGTCCCTCCATGTCTGGCTGCAGGCTCTGTGTTCTGGGGAATCCAGACAGGGCAGCACCAGGTAGGGATGTCTCTCTTCCCTGCTAGGCCCATCCCAGCTTCAGCTTCTGCTGAAGGGCACAATTTTGGGAATATCCACCTGTTGACGTTGTAGAGACACATAGTGCCATCACCCTCTTATAAACCTCAGGGAGGTTTTTGTGGCCTCCCTGTCTTGACTCCCAGCAAATACAGGTCCTGAAATGGGAGCTTGGGCACTCTCTGTAGATACCAGCTTACATCAGGTCCCTTCTCTGCAGCCCTCTGTGCTGGCTTCCATCCCAAGAACCATGCTGGGTATAAACTCAAGAGTTGAGAGGCATGAAGCATTCTGGGCTGGGTTGCTGCCTTCTCCACACACTCAGGGTATGCTTAGGATGCTGTTTGGGCCAAGATGAGCTTTTAGGGGTGGTTCTGCTGTGAGGTCTGGGGCTGGCTGGAGGGAGTCCCCAGGGGAAGCTCTACTGAGAATAATTTCCCATTATCCCACGAGCAGTAGCAACACCTTGAAGCAAACACTAGCTACCTACCATTCTAGTTCTCCCTGCCCTGGGCCATCTCAACACCCACTTGGGGGTGCCAGTAGCACCTGTGGACCAACACATCTTGGTCCCCTAGAGCTCAGCTACTGCTGTATCATTCCACCTCAGTGTCCACCAGTACTTGAAATGGCAAGTCTGAGACTGAGATAGCTCCTGGCTCCTGCATGCTCCTACTCGGTGTGTAGCACTGCTACAGGTCTGGTCTCTACACTAGCAACACTTGGATCAGCTGCCTCTGCAGTTCCTTCCTTGCTGATGACCACACAAACCCTCCCTCTACCTGAGTCTGAACCAGACCCCCTAACTCAAAATTTCTGTCTCAAATACCTGGCATTCTTTTGCCTCTTCTCTCACTCATTCCCCTCCCCCAGGGACTTAAAGCGCTTTGTCTGCCTCTGAAAAATGGACAGCCCTTCAATTCATTCTTCAAAGCCACATTACCTGCTTATTTGGGGGGACATTTCCACTGCTCACTACGGCTAAGATGCCTTCCTCCTTCTGCTTGGTCCACCCCCAGGCTCCCTCCCATCTCTGTCAGGTCCGCCTCAACCTCTCCCCACCTTCAGCAGAGGTAATAATTTTCAGAGCATCTACAACTTACAGTTTGTTGTGCACTTGCCTCTTTGTACACACAATAAAGGAGCAATTTTAAATTTTTATTTTGTAATAGGTACCCAGAGTACTTGATTTAAAAGGAGGACAGAGAAAATTAGGTTTCCCATTCCTGTGCTTGAGCCACCAGTTCCTTCAGGGCAGCCATTGCTACCGGTTCCTTGCATATCCTTTAAGAGATGATCAGCATGTCCTCAAAACATGTGTGCATGCTCATGTCAGTTACTACCTTTTCTCTCCACACAAATGATACTCTATACACTGTTCTGTACCTTTTTTCTACTTGATATACTAACATCTTAGTCTTTCCATGAAGTTGCTGCTTTCCTTTGTATTGACTTCGTATCATTCTATTTATAAAATTCTGAATTTCAATCTTTTCTCAGGCCAGCAATATGCAGTATGATGCTGTCTTGTGCCGCTGGTCAGCCTGATCACCACAAGGGAAACAACTGAAAATCTACAGTTGTTTCCTGGGTTGCCACATAGTTTTGCTCTACTGTGAGCTAAGGTAAACGTTGTGAGCATATTTAAGATAGGCTAGTCTAAGCTATGATGTTTGGTAGGGTATGTGTATGAGATGCCTTTATGACCTATAGAATTATCAGGATATAACCCCGTCATAAGTCAAAGAGCATCTTATCAAAAGATCCAAAGTCAATACACTAAGTTACATTTATAATGAACAAACTGAAAAGGAAATTAAGAAAACAGTTTCACTTACAATAACATCAAAAAGGATGAAATACTAAGGGCAGCGCCTATGGCTCAAGGGGAAGGGTGCTGGCCCCATATGCCAGAGGTGGTAGGTTCAAACCCAGCCCTGGCCAAAAACAAAAAAAAGGATGAAATAATTATGATTTAACTTAACCAAAGAAGAGATAGATTGTGTAATGAAAACTAACTACCATTACTGTAAAAATTAAAGAAAACAAAACTTACTGGAAATTCATTGTGATTTTATAAAAATATATATATACCTTGATTGGTTCCTGGTCACAGATCTTTTTGTTTTTGTAGGTTTTTTTTTTTTGAGACAGAGCCTCAAGCTATCCCCCTGGGTAGAGTGCTATGGCATCACAGCTCACAGCAACTTCCAATTCCTGAGCTCAAGCGAGTCTCCTGCCTCCACCTCCCCAGTAGCTGGGAGGGATTACAGGCACCTGCCACAACACCTGGCTATTTTTTTGTTGCAGCCATCATTGTTATTTGGTGGGCCTGGGCTGGATTCGAACCTGCCAGCTCAGGTGTATGTGGCCGGCGCCTTAGCCACTTGAGCCATAGGCACCGAGCCTATAGGGGTTTTTTGAGACAGTTTCACTCTGTCACCCTGGGTAGACTGCTATGACATCATAGCTCACAGCAACCTTAAACTCTTGGACTCAAGACATCCTCTTGCATTAGCCTCCCTTGTAGCTGGCGTTAAAAGTGTCTGCCACAAAGCCCGGCTTATTTTTCTTCCTCTTTTACTCAGGCTAGTCTTGAACTCATTAGCTCAAGCAATCCTCTCACCTTAGCCTCCCAAAGTTCTAGGATTATAAGTCTGAGGCACTGTGCCTTGGCTGGTCACAAATCCTGAACTTTTTTTTTCCCCCAGTTTTTGGCTGGGGTTGTGTTTGAACCTGCCACTTCCGGCATAGGGGGCCCATGCCCTACTCCTTTGAGCCATAGGCGCCGCCCCTTGAACTTTCTTAACTGACTCGAGTGATAGGAGTATCTTTTATTTATTTATTTATTGTTGGGGATTCATGGAGGGTACAAGAAACCAGATTTCACTGATTGCATTTGTTAGGTAAAGTCCCTCCTACAATCATGCCTTGCCCCCCAAAGGTGTGACACATACCAAGACCCTACCTCCCTCCCTCCTTCCCTCTCTCTGCTAATCCCTTCCCCACTCCCTCCTTCTTCCTCTCTCTGCTCACCCTCTCCCCTTGTCATTAATTGTCCTTATGTCAAAATTGAGTACATAGGATTCATGCTTCTCCATTCTTGTGATACTTTATTAAGAATAATGTGTTCCGGCTCGGCGCCTATAGCTCAAC